CGATCGATACATCATCTTCAGTCGACCAATTGAGTGCTGATTTTTCAGCTTCGTCAATGGCTAGTTTATCATTCGACTCATGAACTCGACCAGTCGACTGATGATGCATTTTTGCTGTAACAACTAGTTTTGGCAGATTTTCTTTGATAGATTATAAATACCTCTCAATGTTTATTTTTTGAGCTAAGTTTTTAAGGGTTTCATCAGTTTTGTTTAAGCCATTTTTGGCTCCACATTTTTAAAGAGATTAAATGTTTGTTTGTATGCAAAAAGAATTTACAAGAGGAGGAGATCGATTTTGGTTTGAGCATTCATCTTCAAATCTCTATCTCTCTTGTTTAGAGAAGTTTCCTAAACTCAATTTCTAGCTAATCTACATTTTGATCATCATATATATGAGCTAGATTTATTTGAGTTTGATTTTATTATACTTATTGTTTACACACACCCACTTCAGGTTTAGTATTTCACATTAAGTATATTTGGGTTATGGGAGTAATTCATTGAGTGAGCTTAAAATTAGTTCCTGTATTGTTTAGAGAACAAATCATTTATTTGCATTTATTATGAAACTGGTTGTAATACACAATGACACTTAGAGGAGTAGTTGCGAGAGACCGGGATCAATTCTAAGAGGAATGTCTTGGTTGTAAAAGCCTACTTTGCATCTCTTAGATTTCGGAGCCATTGTAGGATGAAGCGGGAATTCTTTCCTGGGATGTTCCTTTCAAGATTTGAGAGCACGATAACTCCCAATGGAGGAAAATGGCTGAATTAGAAGGGCGGAGTTGTCCACGTGGCCACGACTACCCTCGAAAAGCGAAAACACTAACGGACAGAGGACGTGGCCACGATCAAGTTCGACGGCTCAGATCACCCTCGGTATATCGAAAGAACCGAGGTTGGCGGCTACATCCGACGGTTGAACCCAAAAACCACGGCCACGATGCGTCATGGGGCGAAACACACGAAATCGTGTTGTCGAACCACGATCGCCGCGACCCAATGGGACCGCGCCGCCTTAGCTGGGAAGCACAAGGCCACATCAGCTGACACATGGCTCATCTCCCGTCAGATCTGGGCCCACCTCAAAAAGGGCGGGTTTCGCCTGCAAATACTTGGCATG